ACACTTCTCTCTGTCCCACATTGCTCCAAGCCCTGTCTGGGACTGTTCCAGGGATCCAGGGGCAGCTGCTCTGGGAATTCCATCCCAGCCGCTTCCCTCCCTCTCAGGGAGGAATTCCTTCCCAAAATCCCCTCTAAACTTCATTTTGAAGCCATTTTCCCTCTCTTCCCTGGGCTCTGAGGGAACAGCAGAGAGCAGCACCTGTGGGCGAGCTTATCCCAGGAGTTCTCTCAGAAGTTTTCCCGTTTCCCCTGTTCATTCCCTGGGCTCTGAGCCTCCTCCTGAGCTGCTTTTCCCCCACCCCAGCTGAGATCATGGATCCCTACGTCCCTCCCGAGGGCGATGCCCGCATGACCTCGCTGTCCAAGGACGGGGTGAAGCAGCAGATGCAGAAGCTGAGGCAAACAGCGGCCTCCCAGCTGGCGTACGTACCCCTCGTTAGCTAATTAGCATAATTACCCTGCTGCTTGGCCTGTCCTGGGTCTGTCCATGGGAGATAGTCCTCCCCCAGGTCCCCTCCAGGCCACCCAGGGACCCCAAATCTCCTCAAAACTCCCCCAAATTCCCCCCAGGACATCTGTGTGGCCCCCAGGTCACTTCCAGGACCCCCCAGATCCCCCCACATCCTCTCAACCCCCACCAAACCCCCTCTGTGAGGGAGCTGAGGGATCTCTGGGTGATTTTTAGGATTAAGGGGTTGTTTCCTCCCTGTTTTCCCCATTTTTGTTGTTGTTTTCCCCTTCCCCTTTCCTGCTGGGAGCAGCCACGCTGTGCACTCCCAGTTTTTTGGGGATTCTTTGGATTTGGCTCTTTTGTGACCACCGGAAGGTTTTGTCTTAGTGAGGGATCTCAGATTCTCAGCTGGGAAAAGCTGGGTTTGAATCCTGTAGGATCCAAATATCCAGGACAGCTCTAATTTTGTCTTCCCTTAATTTCTTTCTTTCCCAGCCTGCGGAAGATCAAGGATCACGACCCGGATTTCAGCACCAAAACCTTCCCTGAGAAAGCCCAGGAGATATTTATTGAGGCCCACAACTCCCTGGCAAAGTAAGGCCCTTCCCTGACCCAGGGGGAGCTGGAATTTGTGGGGAAAATGTAGTGGAATTTGTGTGGGGGAAAAGGTAGAATTTGTGGGAGGAAAGTAGGAATGTGTGAGGGGGAAATGCAGGAATTTGTGTGGGAGGGAAAGGCGGAATTTGTGGGGGGGGGGAAGCTGGAATTTTCAGGGAGAATTGCAGGAATTTGTGTGGGAAGAATTTAAGGAATTTGAGGAGAAAGCAGGAATTTGTATGGGGAGAATTTAAAGGAATTTGTGCGGGGGGGAAAGCAGGAATTTGTGTGGGAGGACAGGTGGGATTTGTGGGGAAAGCAGGAATTTGAGGGGAAAGCAGGGATTTTTGAGGAGTCTCCTTTTCTTTGCTGAATTGACCAGAGTGTTTCCTCTGCAGCTTTAACAAGCAGAAGCTTCACTCCCTGGTGACCGAGCGCTGCTACCCCGTAAGTGCCGGGAATTTTGGGGAATTTTGGGGTGTCTCGGATGGATGGAAGGGACCCCCAGGATCAGCAATCCAGCCCTGGCCCTGCACAGCACACTCCCAACAATCCCTCCCAGGTGTGGGATCGTGGCTGTTGCAGTGCCCAAAAAGAGCCAGCAGAGCTGGAGCTGATTTTCGCTGTCAGGAGCGAACAAATCGTTAATAATGTCATTAATCCCGAGCCGGTCTGTGCTGGCAGGACATGGTGCGAGGGAACAGGTACAAAACCATCCGCTGGCGGTTCCTGGAGTCCCTGGAGCCCCCCAGGGTGGTGCACGTGCGCTGCGAGGGCATCCTGAACCGCGGCAACCTCTACGGGCAGGTGACGGTGAGGATGCACAGCCGCCAGGTGAGCCCGGGCTGAGGGGGCTGCAGGCCAGGCCAGGCCAGGGACACCCCTGCTGCCCCAGGTCACACAGCCCCAGATTTACCAGCCTTTGCTGGAACGTCAGTTGGGTCATCCAGGAGCCTTCTCCAGGAGGGACAGCCCCAAATTGACCAGCTTTTCATGAAAGGTCACTTGGATCATCCAGGGGCCTTCTCCAGGATGATCAATCCCCATTTTCCCAGCCTTTCCTGGAAGGTCACTTGGATCATCCAGGGGCCTTCTCCAGGAGGGACAGTCCCAAATTTACCAGCCTTTCCTGGGAGATCACTTGGATCATCCAGGGGCCTTCTCCAGGATGATCAATCCCCATTTTCCCAGCCTTTCCTGGGAGATCACTTGGATCATCCAGGGGCCTTCTCCAGCATGGACAGGCCCAAATTTACCAGCTTTTCATGAAAGGTCACTTGGATCATCCAGGGGCCTTCTCCAGGATGAACAATCCCCATTTTCCCAGCCTTTCCTCCTAGGAAAATCCCTCCCTCCATCTTCCCTCACCAACCCCAACCTGCTGCCAGCCCAGCACAGAGATTCCAGCCTTTTTTGGGTTGGAAATCCCTTAAATCCCAATCCCATGGGCAGGGACACCTCTCACTGTCCCAGTCACTCCAACCCCATCCATCCTGGGGGATTTTTTGGATCTGTTGGCAGATTTTGGCCATCTATGACCGCTTTGGGCGGCTCATGTACGGCGGGGAGGAGATTCCCAAGGATGTTCTGGAGTATGTTGTGTTTGAGAGGTACCTGGTGAACCCCTATGGAACCTGGAGGATGCACGGCAAGATCGTCCCAGAGTGGGCCCCACCCAAGGAGCCCATCATTAAGGTGGGAAAGGGCTGGAAAATTGCAGATCCCTGGGGGAAAATTGCAGGGAGAAAGGTGGGGTGTTCATCCACGGGCAGAGCTGTTTGGAATGTCCGTGGAATTGTTCCCTGGGAGGCTGAGGGCCTGGAATGGCTGAGGACAAGTCTGGGATAATTTTGGGAATTATTTCCCCCTGTGCCCGACCTCCATTAAGTGTCTCTGCCTCCCTGTGTTACTAAAAACAGATCTTGGGGAAGAAGCAGGGGAGAATTCCAGTGTTCTTCGAGGCTTCCCATTCCATTCCCTCCTCCTGCCTCCCTCTGATCCCCTTTTGTCCCTTTCCAGAATCCTCTGCTCCCCTTTTCTTGCTGATTTTTGTCCCTTGCTTTTGCAGACCGTGATGATTCCAGCCCCAGATCCCTCACAGGAGCATGAAACAGCGAAGTAGAAAGTTCTGGAACGTGGACAGGGACAGCAAACAGGGAATGTGCTGGACCTGGCTGTGCCTTCAGGAACGTGCTCCAGCCACCCCAGATTTGTCCTTTGAGGGGCTGGGAGCAGGACCTGGATGAGCTGTGGGGGAGCTGGGCTCTGTCCCACACCCCGTGTGCTGCAGCCTCACCCTCGCTGGGTTCCCACGAGGATGAGGAGCCTTGGGAGCATCCCCAGCCACCCTCTGTCCTGAATTCCAGGGACAGCCCTTGGAATATTTGTCACCCCCAGGGGAGGGGTCACAGAGCTGCTGCTCCGTCAGTAAAGCTTCACCAGTGGCTTTGGCACCGTTTTTCCCTGTCTCTTTCTCTGCTGATTCCCAAACTCCTATCTTTTAACAGAAACCAGGAAAATTTAAATCAAGTTCTGTGGGGAGGGGGGTGCTGCTGTTGGTGTTTCCCAGAGAAGCTGCAGCACAGCTGATCATTGGGTTTAATTTCAGGTTTGATTCCTCACAGGGGCTGGGGCTGTGCAGAGCTGGTGCTGTCACTGAGGGAGTGGCACCATCCTGTGGACACGGGGACATTTGCAGCTCTCGTGGGAAAACACATTTTATTCTTCCTCCTCTGTGAGCCTCCTCCTCTGTTCCTGCTCTGCTCAGCCAGTTCTCCTCACTCACAGAGCAAAACCCTCCCTGCTCACCCACAACAAACCCTTTTCTCCTTCTGGCCCTGCTTTTTCGCTCAGCCTCTTCCAGAGCGTGGGAGAGTTCAGGGGATTTTTGTTTCTTCCTCGAGAGGGACTTTGCAGAGCTGTGGCTCCTGTTGGCTCCTCGGTGTTCCTTTTGGGAGGGCAGGGCCTCCCCTTTGTGCTGTGCTGGGAGAGGAGCCAGCAGAGGAATCCCTGCCATGTCCTTGTGGTGTCACAGGGGTGTCACAATCCCTCTGCTCCTAAAAAACAAAATCTTCTCCATGGAGCCCCTGCCTGGCTCAGGAGCAGAGTGTGGAGCTCAGATCCCTCCGTGCATCCCAGGGCAGGAGGGGATGGAATTCCTGAGGGAGGAGGGGATTGGGATTGCTCAGGAAAAGGGGATTTTTGGGGTGACCTCACTGAGGATTCCCTGGAGGAGCTACGGGGAAGGTGGAGAGAGGGAAGAGGGGACAGGACACAGGGAATGGGCTCCCTCTGCCAGAGGGCAGGAGGGATGGAATATGGGAAGGAATTCCTCCCTGGGGGATGCTGAGGGGCTGGGATGGGATTCCCAGAGAAGCTGTGGCTGCCCCTGGATCCCTGGAAGTGTCCAAGGACAGTGGGAGGTGTCCCGGGTGGGATTTAAGGTCCCTTCCCTCCAAACCTGGGCTTCTCTGGGGCTCCCCAGCCCTGACTCTGAATGAAAAGGGGTTTTTTGGGTGGAATGTGGCTTTTTTGGGAGAATGGCCTTTCCTTCCAGTCAGCCCTTCTCCAGCCTCTGCCACCCAACGCCTGCACTGCTGGGTTTCCTCTCCAGCCCCTTCCCAGCTCTTCCCCACCTCACAGTGAGCCTCTGCCAGCACACTCCATAGACAATTCCATTTATTTCCTGTATTTACACAAAATTACACAACCAGGACCTTCAGCCTCACAACCCCCAGACCCCCCAGTCCAACTCCGGGACTGGGCAGGGGGGATCAGGATGGATCTAGGGATGGATCCATGGGTGGATGGGTGGGATAGG